ATATAGCTCGGTGTCTAAATTGTCAGCACGTAAAGTATGAGCATCAGAGACCTGGTGGTTTGTTTCAGAAGTTGGATATTCTTGAGTGGAAGTGGGAGCGTATCACTATGGATTTTTTTGTAGGACTCCTACGGACTTAGAGGAAGTTCGACGCGGTATGGGTTATTGTGGACAGGCTGACCAAGTCAGTGCAATTCAATCCTATGGAAGTTACCTATTCTTCAAAGCGGCTGGCTGAGATTTACATCCGCGAGATCGTCCGTCTTCACGGTGTGCCTGTGTCTATCATTTCTGATAGAGGTACGCAGTTCATCTCTCACTTCTGGAGGGCAGTAAAATGTGAGTTAGGCACGTAGGTTGAGTTGAGCACAATATTTCATCCCCAGACAAACAGGCAGTCAGAGCGCACTATTTAGATATTGGAGGATATGCTTTGCGCTTGTGTTATAGATTTCAGAGGTTCTTGGGATCAGTTCTTGCCACTTGCGGAGTTTGCCTACAACAACAGCTACCAGTCGAGCATGAAGATGGCTCCCTATGAGGCATTATACGGGAGGCGGTGTCGTTCGCTAGTTGGATGGTTCGAGTCGGGGGAGGCTCGTTTGTTGGGTATAGGTTTGGTACAAGATGCCTTGGATAAGGTCAAGATTATTCAGGATCGACTTCGCACAGCTCAGTCTAGGCAAAAGAGTTAGGCTGACCATAGGGTTTGTGATGTTGTATTCATGGTCGGAGAGAGGGTATTGTTCCGGGTTTCACCCATGAAGGGTGTGATGAGGTTCGAAAAGAAGGTCAAGTTGATCCATAGGTATATCGGACCTTTTGAGATTCTTGAGAGAGTGGTTGAGGTGGCCTACAAGCTCGCATTGACACCTAATTTCTCAGAAGTTCATCCGGTGTTCCATGTGTCCATGCTTAGGAAGTAGCACAACGATCCGTCCTATGTGTTAGATTTCAGTTTAGTCCAGTTGGACAAGGATTTGACTTAAGAGGAGGATCCGGTGGCTATTCTAGCTCGGGAGGTTCGACAGTTGAGGTCTAAGAGTTCTCCTTCAGTTCGAGTGCAGTGGAGAGGTCAGTCGGTCGACGCAACCACTTGGGAGTCCGAGTCATACATACAAAGTAGATATCCACACCTTTTTCACCAGTCTAGGTACTTTACTGAGTCCGTTCGAGGATGAACGGTTGTTTTAGAGGTAGAGAATGTGATCACCCGATAGGTCATCTAGAGTTTTAAACCTTAATTTTGTATTTCAAAACCACAAATAGCTCCTTTCTGCCTTCCTCGATTTATGTGCGCGGTCCCTAGCTCGAGTTATCCCATTTTGTTGAAAATTTGAAGTTTAAAAGTTTGAAGACTTTATAAATTTGACCAATGTTTGACTTTATTGCTACCGAGTCCATATTTTGGTTTCGGAAATTGGTATAGGCCTGTTATCATATTTATGACTTGTCTGCAAAATTTGGTGCAAAACAAAAGTAATTTGATGTGATTCAGATGTCCGTTTGTTAAAATAGAAGTTCTTAAGTTTCATTGAAAGTTTCATTTTATTTGGTGTCTGATTCGTAGCTCAAGGTGTTATTTCGATGTTTTGGTCGCGCGAGCGAGTTCGTATGGGGTTTTTGGACTCGTGTGCATGTTTGGTTTGGAGCCCCGAGGGCTCGGGTGAGTTTCATATAGGCTAAGGAAGGATTTTGGACTTAGAATTATAAATGAAGCCTTTATGCTTCTGGTGTCTGCTGCAGACTTTGCAATTGCGAAGTCTGGCTTGCAAATGCGAGCCTCGAATTTGCGAAGGAATCATCGCATTTGCGAGCATGGGCTAGGGATTGGTTTCTCGCAATTACGAGTACTCTGCCGCAATTGCGAATGAGTCAGGTCCGCATTTGTGAACAAATTGTTCGCATCTGCGATGGGGACTTGGGGAAAGCTTGTTCGCATTTGCGATCAATTGGGTTGCATTTGCGGTAGGGTGCAGTTTGCATTTTTGAACAAATCATCGCAAATGAGATGATAGCAGAAATGTGGGGACTTCGCATTTGCAAAGGAAATGTCGCATCTTGCGGGGTTCGCAATTGCGAACCCCAGGTCGCAAGTGCGACATCTGGGTCTGGTCAAAAGCAGACGGGATTTTTCTCATTCTTTCAAATTTTCAAACCTAGAAACCCTAGAGGCGATATTTCCAAGAGCTCTTCTTCCTCAATTCGTTGGTAAGTGATTTTAACCTACTTTATTTCAATTACCTATTACATTTCATAAGATTTCAACATAATCTAGGATTTTCATGGTAGAAATTGGGGATTTGGGTAGAATTAGGGATTTTTGTAAAATTGGAATATAGACCTCAAATTGAGGTCGGATTTCGAAATAAATTACATAACCAGGCTCGGGGTTGAATGCGTAATCGGGGTTTGGTCCGAATTTCGGGTTTGGACCAAGCAGGCCCGGGAGTTGACTTTTGTTGACTTTTTCAATAATGATCTAAATTGAACCTTTTTTATTCGGGGGTAGTTCCTATGGCTTATTTTGAATCGTTTGGTTGATAATTTGCTAGATTTGGTTGGTTTGGGGGCTTGTTCTAAGGGCAAATGCGTGGTTGAGCTTCGAGTCAATTTTTGGAGCGAAGTAAGTGTCGTGGTTAACCTTGACTTGAGGGATTAGGACTTGTTTGCCTATTTGCGACATGTTTAGGTATTGGGTACAACATATATGTGAGGTGACAAGTACTTATGCGTTGTTGTTGGGTTAAAGCATGCGGGTGTGACTTATTTCTTGTAATTTATTTCTTTCTTGATTGTGATATCCATGCTTAGACTAGTTTGTTACTAAATTGAACGTTCTTTCCGTATTTATGGGCTATTTGTGATAATGAGTATTGTTTTTGAAGTTGAGGTTGGTATTGTGGAACCATTATTGACGTAAGATTTATTCTTGTTTATTCTATCTCCCAATTGTTATATGTTCATTGTTACACAGTAAGGGAGAGTGTTAAAGCACGATAGGTAATGTCGTGCCGATTGTTGTTGCAATTATTGATTAATACACAGTGAGGAAGAGAGTTAAAGCACGAAGAGTGATGTCGTGCCGTATTGATTGTTTCATGATGTAATTGAGAGTAAAAGCATGAAGGATGATGTCGTGACGTATTTATCATTTTATGGAGAGATTGAGAGTAAAAGCACGAAGAGTGATGCCGTGCAGTTTTTATTCATTATGTTTATCCGTTTTATTGGCTGAAGGTTTATTGACTGTTTCATGTTGTCATTCCCTGTTGTAGCTATCGTATCTTGTACCCCTTTTTGCATGTCCCCTCCCAATAGTACATGTTAAAACCTTAATTGTTGTTATGTTGTACATGTATTTTTGTCTGTACAGGTTTAACAACGTGGGTGTCCTGTCATAGCCTCGTCACTACCTCATCGAGGATAGGCTCGACCCTTACGGAGTATTGGGTCGGTTGTACTCATACTACACTCTGCACTTCTTGTGCAGATTTTGGTACTGGTCCCAGCTGTATGTGAGGTGCATTCAGCTCGGATTAGCATTTGGAGACTCGAGGTAGATTTGCTATCGTCAGCAGACCTTGAAGTCCCCTTCCTCTTTCCTTATTTACTGTTCATCTCATTCGAGATAGTTGTACTTATTTCAAACCCTATTTGTAGAAACTCTAGAAGCTCGTGTACTTGTGACTCCAGATCCGGATTGTACTAGAGATTGGATTATTATGCTATTTCTTACTTTATTTTGGCCTTCATTTCTGTTTAATTGGTTAAATTGTTCAAAGAGTTTAAAATTTGTAAAAGAATTACTCTAACGTTGGTTTGCCTAGCAAGTAAAATGTTAGGCGCCATTATTACGGTCCCGAAGGTGGGAATTCCGGATCGTGACAATAGTTTAAGTCAAAAATCTGTATTTATACTAAAAATTTCACAAAATGTGCAAAAATTAAAATGCCTCATGACACTATCCCCAGAATTTAAATTTTTATAAAGTCAAAATCCTGACTCAAAAGTGAATGCGAGAGTTATTGTGTGTGCTAGAATTGGTAGTTAAGACTCAAGAGTAATGAAGAAGGCCTAATACGCTTGTTCTTTTGACTTGCTCCAATTGGTGTGATTGGGGAAAGACGAAAGCTGCTTAGACAGAAAGGAACTTGAAGGTCAACCAATAATTAACTTGTTCTGAAAATTAACGAGGCAGCCGGCTATTATATTTGGGTTTTACATCTCTTTCAGCTTTCGGCTACAATTTCCAAGAAACAAATCTCTTTCCGAATCGTATAATCTAATCAAACCTTGTGCCATTTTTTCAAAACAATTTTTAACTATCAATGCAATCCTTTTCATTCCCTTAGATGTGGTACTTTCTTTTTACTCCGTTCCAAATAAAATAAAATATTTTTATATTAAGAAATAATTTAATTTTAAACTCTTTATTTTATCCATTTTATCCTTAACGAGAAACTTTTATAACCACACAAATATCATGACCCCACAAAGCTTTTATCCTTATACTTTTACGACCATAAGTTTCAAAAATATTTTTTTTTCTTAATCTCTGTGCCGAGTCAAACTGACTCGTCTAATTTGAAACGGAGGGAGTACGTTTAAATATGTAAGACTGATGTACGTATACGAGCATAACGAGCAATCAGATCCAATTGTGGTAAATGGTATTACTTTAAACTGCAGGTGTTTTGTGATATTCTTTTCATGACCTAATTAATACTAATATGACAAGTTGCTACCAAAACTTCCCGCCCACAGTATGCATGCACATACAAAAATAGAAACTTCATACTTCCGTAATACTTTAGATAGATTCGCCATAACGTAAAAAATCCAAATCTGTTTGCCAAACAAAATGGGCGTGAAGAAGGAAGGATGCGTGAGTTGCATAGCTAGCAGCAGTAATAAAAGGTTTTGCAAACGTACAATATGATGCAGATGTGAATAATACAGTACGTATTAATTAAGGGGGTCAAAAAGTTGTAGTCTCAATTTGCTGAACATGTTGTGCCATCCCCAGATGACTTCAATCAGAGATGATTATTTTAACTTTACCCCGGAAGAATATAATGAATATGAACTCTCAAGGCTTGCTTTTCCTATCTTCATGGAAAAGCAATATTCTAGGTACTGAAGATGTGCACTGGGGAAAAGTACATATATATATTGTCAAAATAAATTCTCCGGCAAATAAACAATAAACGTCGTACCTAGAACAAGACCATTAAGAAATATGATTGGTTGCAGAAAAACTCCTTGCCAAGTGCTGAGAATAATAGCATCATTTGTCTGCTTGACAGCAACGGTGGCGGCAAAGGTTCCTAATAATCCTAATTACGCTGATGCCTTAACAAAGAGCATTCTCTTCTTCGAGGGACAAAGGTCTGGCAAATTACCCCCTAACCAGCGTATGACTTGGAGAAAAGATTCTGCTCTTCACGATGGAGCTGACAAGGGTGTAAGTATACATAATACTCGGTCCCAATTTGTCTGATGCAATTTAGATTCCAATAGTCAAACTTCTTAATTTTGACCGCACATTCATACATAGAATTTTTAAGTTTTATAAACAAAATTTATATATTGGAGAACTACATACAACGATATAAAGAAACAAGAAAAAATTTCAGGTGGATTTGGTAGGTGGCTACTATGATGCTGGTGACAATATCAAGTTCCATTTTCCAATGGCTTTTACTACGACCATGTTAGCTTGGAGTGTGGAGCAGTTCAAAAATACAATGGGATCAGACTTACAACACGCCATGGAGGCAATCAAGTGGTCCACGGACTATTTCTTAAAGGCTACAAACATTCCCAACGTAGTATTTGCACAAGTAGGTAACGCCGAGGCTGATCATAACTGCTGGGAAAGGCCTGAAGATATGGACACGCCGCGTACTACTTTTGCAGTTACTGCACAAGCTCCTGGTTCTGAAGTTTCTGCTGAGATTGCTGCTGCTCTTGCTGCTGCATCCGTGGTGTTTAAGCCTTCTGATCCCGCATATTCCAAATTGCTTGTTAACAGAGCCATCCAGGTAACATTATGTTGCTTACCATCAAAAATTTTGAAACAAATTTAATTTGCCAGAACGACTTATATTTGGAACCAGAAGGTGTATTAATTAATATATAGGATAACTATATATAGAGTGTTGCAATTTCCGTATGACTATCAAATAGTTGAGGTGATAATAATTCTATTATTTTTGCGCGGGTTTCAGGTTTTTGAATTTGCGGATAAATACAGGGGATCTTACAATGACAGCATAGGACCTTGGGTGTGCCCATTCTACTGTAACTACAACGGATACAATGTAAGTATGAAGGCTTGATAATCTTCAAATGGTATTGACATTAATTCAACAAGTTCTTAGTCCTAACAAGGATGAAAAAATTGAACAGGATGAATTGCTTTGGGCTGCAGCCTGGCTGCTCAAAGCTACAAGGAAACCTATGTATTGGAACTACGTTAAGCTAAACATAATAAACTTCAAATCGGACATCGAAAGTGGATTATCAGAATTTGGATGGGATGCCAAGCATGCTGGTATCAATGTGCTTATCTCCAAGGTTAATTAATTTATTCACTAGTTACATATTCCACCAAATTAGGCTCTTATTTATTCTGCACACATAATTACTAGAGTAATTTTCTTGGTCTTTGATTCAATTTGATATCTTTCACATTTCTGGATATTATTGCAGTTTGTTCTCGATAACCCTTCAAATGCAAACCCCTTCCTTCCTTACGCTGATACATTCGTCTGCAGTGTATTACCTGAATCTCCTACCAGTACAGTTAGATACACTCCAGGTATAGTTATTTCCCCTTAAAAAGCAAAAAAATACAATTGTGAATGTTGCGCATATAATTGTTGTCATCCTCAATTTTATGCAGGTGGACTCGTGTACAAAGCGGGGATTTGTAATATGCAAAATCCAACAGCTCTGTCGTTTCTACTTCTTACCTATGCGCGCTACATGAAAACCAGGATAATTCGCTGTGGCAACATTGATGTAACTCAAAAGATGCTAATACGTTTTGCAAGAAGCCAGGTATTGTATATACTGTGTGTTACATATTACAATGACACTGAAAATGTATCGAATGAAATTAAACTGGTGGAGGTATATATATAATGGCTGCAGGTGAATTATATTCTTGGGAGAAATCCAGTGAACATGTCATACATGGTTGGATTTGGAGCAAAATTTCCTCAAAGAATACACCATAGAGGGGCTTCATTGCCATCTATTGATCAATATCCAGAGAAGATAGGATGTAAAGAAGGGACACCATATTTCCTAAGTGAAAACCCAAATCCCAACTTGCATTTAGGGGCAGTAGTTGGAGGACCTGATATCAAAGATTATTTTGCTGATTCTAGACTTAGTTCTTCCCAGTCAGAACCAGCTACGTATGTAAATGCACCACTTGTTGGCCTCTTGGCTTATTTTAAAGCACATCCCTAGTCCTCAATACTTGTGAAAATAACTAACTTTAATTTGTAGTAGATCATTGAATCTTCTTTCGCCTAAATTGTATTCATTTGGAATTTCAGGGAGAAAGAAAGGTTACAACTTAGAATTAAGGATTGGCTGATAATCTTCAGTACAAAGATCTTTTACTCTTGATTTTTGTATTTCATCACTTGTGTGTTTTTGTAGTACAAGGAATTAAAGATCAACTCCTGATTGAAATTTGTATAGCTTTGTGTCTTTGTTTTCTCAACTCTGTTGGAATGTAAGATTTTTGTAACTTACTGACCTCATATACGTGCACCTGATTTACTGAAGGATATACAATGGCAAAATTTGAAGAAACGTACAATAATTAATTCCTATTGCATAAAGCTATTCTTACTTGACCGTTTCTATGTTTGTCCCATCACTATTTGTCTATTTCTTTAGCATATATGTAACCCATATATATTACTATTAGATATGACTTACTTCTTCTTCTTTCTTTCTTTCTTTCTTTCTTTCTTTCTTATTATTATTATTGCGACAAAACAAGGCAACATATATGAGGCACCGAAATAAGCAAAATTTTGAGGCAAAAATAAATATTAGATCATAATAATAGAACATCCGCACAAGAATTCTATACAAATAAGAATAAAATACTAACTATCCTAAGAGGTAGGAACAATGGAGTAATTTAAAGACCTTATTCAAGCCGAAAACTGTATTTTAATGATTTTTTATATTTTTCTAACTAATGAGAACAATCACTTGAAAATAGTTTGTTTATTTATTTTAAATGTAATTTGTGTCCACTACATTGTAAAAAGTTTTCTAGGCAACTCGGTTACTACTCCAATCGGTACACTTTAATTGGTTTTTTTTAGTTATTTTCATACATATTAACGAATTTATATTTTAGCATTAATTAACATAAAATTGACCATATTAATCTTAATTTTTTTTATTAAAAATATAATTTATACTCCTAGGCTCTTTACTTTAAAGATAATTTAACAAAAACAGAAATTAACTCGTTTTTAATATATGAAAATAGACCATAAAAAAAAGACTAAAAAAACAATTAAAGTGGGACTAGGTCGTCCAACTTGTCACGCAGGGACACTTTCTAAATTACGGCCTCCCTCTTAATTAAACCTCTTCTCTGCGTGTGTGGCTTTGGGCCAAAAATAGCAACAGAGACGCTGCTGGGATTGGGAAAGAGGGGGAGATCGGGATGAATCAAAGGGCAGCAGGAAGAGGGAGGCCGTCCGGTACCGATGGCTCTGATTTCTCCTACCGCATGGTCGTCGATTCCAGTACATTCTCCCCCCTTTTCCATTTCCCCAACTCCCTTTCTCATTCTCTCTCTTTTTCTATTTGATCTTCTTAATTATTGTTTTAAAATTTTTCTGGTAGGATACACGAAAGTTGCAAAGGCAAAGTCTCGTCTTGCCAAATTGATCTTCGCTCAGGTTTGTTAGATTGAATTTCTGTTATTGTTGCATAAAAATCTCTGGTTTAATCGGAATTGGTTACTTCAAGCCTATTTTTCTGATGTTAAGATAAGCTGAATAAGTTAGTTGCTCATTAAGATATTACTAATTCATCAGCAAGATCTTGACTTGAATTTTGCCACTGTGAATATAAACATGTATCATGTACTGCAGGCAGTCACTCAATTGATGATAGCAGCTAATGTATTTATTTCATTATCAAAGAAGGAGTCTCCTGATAGAGTTTCTGTTTCTTCCCTTTCAATTGGCTTGGTCTCTCTTCTGGCAGGGGAACTAGGTTTGCTACTGGATCTCATTTATGACCTAATTATTTTGATCTTTCACCTTTTAATGAGACATTTTCTCTTGTTATATTTAGGTCGAAAGAGAAGCAGATCCAACTTTTTGAAGTTTTATGTCTTTGGGTCTTCCATGGCGATCCTGCTGTCAGTGGCATATCTTGCTATGAGCAATCTCTCATTGGAGGTATGGTTATTTGTTAATTCACTCCGACGAGAATATTGATGCAGTTGTTATTACTGACAGAAATTTATCTATGACGTTTTTTTGCTTTATATTTAATTATGCTGAATAGGGACCTCATTAATTCTTCGGTATGATTGAGTTAGTATCAAAATTGCTGCAACAAATATGGTTGTTTTACTTATTTCAACCTTCCTGTAGCTTGCTAAATACTAACACAAGAAATTTGGGACATGAGCAACAAATAACAAGTTTGTTTTGTATCTGACTATGGAATTATCTTAGGCCCTAAAAAACTAAAATACTTATACCTTCTGCTATTAGAATTTGATCACTTCTAAGTTACAAAATTGCCTCTCTTTTCTTCATTGACGGCTCATGACACTATACTGCAATTTGGACATTGGATGCTGACAATTGTTGGTTAACCCTAACTCATCCCAAAAGGTGGGGGTGGGGGGGGGGGGGGGGGTTTTTTTTCGCTTTTCGATAATGGATTATTTAATTGAATAAGAGAGAGAATTAAGGGAGTGCTGACATGTATCGGAAGGGCTGCAATTTATAAAAAGTGATTTTATATTCCCTTATAGATCCTAAAAATAAGATACGAAGTCAAGAAAAGGTGTCTAAATTGTATACATCCTTCAGTTTTTTTTTCTTTTTTCCAAAATGCTAGTTGGTACATATATTAGTACATGAAATGCTTCCTCTATCTCTATGTACTCAAACATTTGCGGTTTCTTTTTCTCCCGCTCACCCATAATCTGCAGCACATACATTTTTTTTGGTACGTGGCTTTGATAAGGAGGTTTTCAAGACTAATTGTAGTGTAAAGATGTGTTCTCCTCCATTGTCCCTCTGAAATCCAGGATAGGCAGTTGATGAATGCATGTTTTGGGAAGTCTATTTGCTGCTGAACATTTAGCAAGCTAAGCACCAGATTGGTGTATGAAGACTTAATACATGAGTTGTGAAGAAAACAAATACTCAAGTAAAAAAGTGCCCTCTATGTTTCTTGCTACCGGTGTTTCTGCACTTATCCGTAAATTGGTGTAGGCACAACAATGCTGGATTTAGAAGGGTTCAGACTTACTAGGTTGGGTTCACTTTATCTCTTTTGTTTTATGTTTCAAGAGGTGCAGCTGTTGCTGCATGATAAGTTGTCACGTGTAGCAGAATGTACTTGCATCAGACTATACGAGATACTACCAGCACTTTTTATCCAAAAAAATGAGATACTACTGGCGCTGATGTTGCAACATTCTCTTCGGAGTCGAATGCACAATTTTGGCTGAAAGAGTTATAAAAATATCAACACCCAGTGAAGAATTAGAGAACCTAGATTTACTTGTGGTTTCAAAGTGTATTTGAAGTGAAGTTTTTCAAATCTTTCAACCTCCACTCATGAATTTTCAACTTCCACAAACTCTTTTACCATAAAAAACTACGGTTTTCAACAGAATTTCAACTTCCACCAAGTTCCAGTTTCTACTTCAAAAAGTTTTTTTCCCAATTTCAACTTCAAATGTTGTCTAAACGGCACCTAAAATCATAAGAAGCAGTACTTATATTTCTTAAGTTTGTAAGAGATGTTTTTCTCCATATCCACTGTGGAATACCTTTTTTTTTTTTTTTAATTATAGATAGACAATAGTATATAATTAACATGACAGTAAAAAAGTGCAGGTAAATATATCAAAGGGATATCATAAGCATAGATAGAGCCCCAAAAAAAGATATCTAGCCTATTCTTGTAGGGTATTGATGATTTCTTAGATGGATTCTGCATCATTTTCATACACTCATTTACCTGCAGTCATAAATTTGACTTGATCTTGTGAATGGGGTTGAGTTTGTCTCCAAAGCAACTTAAGTTCCTTCCCCTCCAAATAGTCCACCAAATGCATTGGGTTTTTGGGGGGAGGGGGGTTGGGGGTGGGTGGGTTGTGTTCCACAATTTCGATTGACATTTTGTCATTCCCCTTCCAATCTAGCTCCTCAAGGCTTCTGCTATTGATCCAGGCATGACCCAATGTAATCCCGCGATATTCAAAAATAGTTTCCTAAATTGGGTGGTTTTGGAGCAGTGTAAGAACCGGTGGCTTATACTCTTTGATTGCTTGCCACAAAGGTAACACCTGTTACATAAGTTTAGGCCCCTTTTCTGTCGGTTGTCTTGACTTAGACATGCACCTCTAGCTACCAACCATGCGAAACAAGCAACTTTCATATGGGGCCTTTGTCTTCCATATTCTTTTCCATGGCCAAGGTGAGTTCTGTTATGTGCTTCCAGAGGGTAGTTTGTAGTAAGAATTGACTGAGAACACTCCATTTTTTCCTGGCTTAATGCAATTCTTTCCTCGTTATTGAATAGCTGCTGGAAAGTTTCTAAAGTTGCAAGAAAGTCAGTCTCCCTATCCAGTTCCCAATCGTTAAAATTCCTTATGAATCGTATCCTCCAGCTACGTTTCTCTCAGAGAAGCCAAAGAAGCTTCCTTGTGTTGGGAAATTGCTAACAGTTCAGGGAATTGATCTTTCAGCAGGGTCGTAGCCAGTCCATTTATCTCCCCGTTGACAGAGTGGATTATTTTATTGCAATAGTATGGTCTTTCTGGTAGTTGCTCGTCAACTTGTAGTCAAAAATAGATAAGTTGATAATGCTAGTCCTTCCCCCACAACCCCTTCCCAAGAAAAAAGAGAGTTAACCTGAGTCACTAATCCACAAAGAGACCAAAGTATCTCAACATCCATATATCCTGGCTGTTTGTGACAATTCTTGCTTGAAGGAAGGTAACTTGTTATGGTTGCTTTTTTCTCTATTTATGCCCAAAGAGAAAAGGAAAAAGAAAAAAAGGTTCTACTTATCTCTTCCTCTTCCTTATTACTCTATTGTTGCCCCTACTTATTATAACCCTCACCACCTGGTATTCCCTCTGTATCTTTTGTCGAAGATCCCCTGCTCTGTGTTCACCCGTCTCTTCATTCCCTCTTTCGCTTTATGGGTTCCTCTTTAGCATCAAATTCACCACTTGATAATTCTATCTCATTGTCGATCATGTCGGAAAGTGGCTTTGACTGTTCTCGAATTTTCAAATAGCTTTCTTAGGGGTTGATTGGTTAAGATAAAGGAAAGGAATCAAGCAATAAGTATGATAACTTGTTTGGAGTTCACAAAGCACTATCTTTCAGACAACCCACTTTTACCTTCCTTTAAAACTAGTCAAACCACTTGGAATGTTCCTTTGCATTTTGCAATAAGTTGGTTGGTCCTTTTGATTTTATGTGATTTTGCTTCTTTCTTTGATTTCTTGCTATCATTTGGGCTTGATTATGAGTAATCTTATGATGTTATTGTGTATTTGCTTCCTTCTTTGATTTCTTCCAATCCTTTTGGCTTGATTAAAAGTGATCTATTGATGTTATTTTGTATTTGCTTCTTTATGATTTATTGCTATCATTTTGGCTTGATTAAAAACAATCTAATGATGTTACTGTGTAGGCTTTTCAACATTTTACAAGTTTGGAGACTCTAAAGATTGCAGCTGTCCTACTAGGTAAGTTTCATATTGCAAATTTGGTTCTCATCATATGCCGCATAGGCGCATGCAATTGGTGTATTGACCAGGTCCTTGTTCTGCAGGATTTGTGGTACAATTTTTCGCTATTGGTACAACCATTTCTCTTATTAAAAATATGGCACCTCCTAAGAGGGCTTCTTGATTTTTAGTGTAACTCTGGTCTTATTCCAAATTTCTTTGACTGATTAAAGAGGGTTCTTAGATACTTCTGATTCGACGGAGATGCTGCTGTAAGTTGCCTTTATCAATGCTATTTTTGCAAGCTTTTCCGATTAACATTATCTTTTGAGCTTTTGACATGTTCAACCATAGCTTTTTAGAGTATCAGTCCGGATGTACCTAGCCTTTGTTTTTTCCTTTTCCTTCTCAGTGAATCTTAGGCCTTCTTTCTTTTTTGACCATTTGCTAATCATGTTACTAGTTACCTTTTTGGCTATCATTGTTTGCTGAGTGTGAATATGCAAAAAGATATTACGACATGAATGATGCATAAATAATTTAATCTTGTTTTGCGGGAATTCACAATGCTAATTACAAATACTACAGGTAAACTTTCTGAAAAGATTGCTAGTCAGTAAATTTATGCCTTGTTCTGCCAGCAAGTAATTTAATATGAATCAAATTTAGTAATTCAATATTTTTTCCTTTTTCACCTTTGTTCAGATCATGTAAATACATGAGTGTAATCACCGATTTATACCTGTTTGTATAGATTTGAAGCAGAGGCATTTAAACCTTTCCTTGGTTTGCTTATGCCCATCAGCCAGAAGTCATTTTTGGTTTCAATTAATAGTGCTGGGTAGTGCTTTTCTGCAACATAAAATGGAGGATCCACATAACTGTATGGGCGTTTATACGAGACACACACACACACACACACACGGTGCGTCTAATGAATATTGCTATTATAGTTAAGAAACGCTATTCGACAAACAAAATATCGCGTAGCATGCGATTTGATAGTACCCAATCTTATTAATGCAAACAAAGTCTGTTGGTGTAAAGCGCTGATAGCGTGATGCTACTCTGTCTCGAGGGCCCCTCTACTCTCGAAAGCTACTGGAAGAGGAGAATTATTGGATAGAGTTGGCTATCCATGTGCCGAAATTTTTATACGCAAGTTAGAGATTGGCTCTTGCGTAATATATGGCCTATTCCTTAGGGCAGATAACACCAAAAAAGGAATTTTTTTTCAGATTTTGCAAAATATAGAAAGTTCAGTAGCTTTTAATTTTTGTACAAACTGAAACACTTCTCTTTATTGGTGTTTGGTTGAGAAATAGCTTTTGCGAAAAATAGAAAAAATGCTTCCAATTTTGAAGCAAACGGCTGTCCTGTCCAAATTTGTAGTAGAATAGTCATCAAATCTTAAGCTGGTCTTTGCTTTAAAAAGTTGGAAACTTGTTTTGAATTATTTTTCTTCGAAACACTAAGAAGAAGAATTTAATAATGTTTGTGAAAACTGGAAAACTACCCCCCAAACCTAAAGTCATATACTCGCTTTGGTCGGGGTTTTTTCTTTTTCATAACTCTTGAGATGTCTTTAGTCGGATTGTGGACGCAGTCCTAATCACTCTATTGCCACATTTGCACTTCAAATCATTTTTTTGAATTGATCGATCTTACTCACTAGTACTGTTGCAACTAAGAATGATCGACGAATTATCGCCATTAATACTTTTAGGGGTCGTTTGGTAGGATGCATTAGATAAGCTAATGCATGCATTAGCTTTGTGTATTAATGCATGCATTAGCTTTGTGTATTAATAATATATTGTTTGGTAGACATTTTGAACCTATCCATTAGTTATGCAAGCATTAGTTATACATCCTATTTGGTATTAGCCTATGCATAACTAATGCATAGAAAACAATGGTATTAGCAATGCAATGGGTTTTAATGCATGCATTAGCTTAGTAGAAAGAACTAAAATTGTTACCTTACTAAAATTTATTGCTTTAGATTAAAATATGCTTAGTTAGTATATTAATGACAAGTTACAAAATAAATTCAAATAGTAGAAGAAATAAATTATATCCTAAGTAAATAAATAAATACTTAGCTATTATTTTACTTTTTATTAAATAAATTATTTAGTTTTATTTACAATATAGGTAGAACAAATTAAAATTAATTTTTTAAATTTTTTCATATAAATTATTTCTCAACATATGTTTCTTTTAAAAGTTAGAGTGTGGACTCGTTTTTGAGGGTATTTTACTAACAAACAATTCTTTTTAGAATTGTGCAATACTTTAATACATCAAACCAAACAATGAATAAAAAATATGTCAGCATAACTAATACCAGCATAACTAATGCAAGCATAACTAATACCAGCATTACTAATACATCATATTCAACATTATTCTTATGCACCCTACCAAACGACCCCTTAAGATTATACTACTGTGTTGTGCCGTGTATCATGCACTAAAATTACCTTTTCTATAAATGCATATGGAACGGACTTAAATAATAAAATCACCTAAAGCTGACGGCCCTGGTAACTTTAGGGATCAACAAAGGAAGAACTAAGTACACTTTGAGAAAGACGAGAAATAACACTATATAGGAGTGTACATGTGTAATTGCCTTTTTGCTTTAGCCGTGAAGAGCGGCAAGGCTGTTGATCAAAGCCAAGGCATTGCTCGTCATATGCGCAACTTCCAGAATCCTTCCCCTTACTACTCTCTTAACTTTCCCGTTCATAACTTTTCAGGCAAACCCCTCGGTGCAGGTGTGTATACAGTCAAAATCATATGCCCCCGGTGTAGAAGATTGAGGTTCCGTCCTAGGTCCGAGTCCGGGAGAAGTCAAGTTCGAAACCGGTGGACCAGGCTCGAGCTCGAAGACAGAGTATAATACCCGGAGGCAGGAGTTCGAGGAATACCGAGGTCAAGTGTGCTCGACCTCGAAATAGTACCGTTATGAATTTGTACCAGAGCGAGCTAGATTCCTGCCACTTCCCTAAGATCATGGCGCAAATTCTGGAATAAGATCGTACAATTCCGTACTAGGCGGTTAGACAGCTGTAACAAGAATATTCCCTACTGTAAATAGAAATATTCCTCATTTAGGTTCCTCAATTATAAAAAGGCGACCCCAATCATTTGTAAGACAATCTGTTTACTGAGAAAGGAATATACTCTCTGCCATTTCGCTTATTGTTCATCAGCATTGTCCTTGAGCTCTATTGTTCTTACTTTATTGCTCTTAGCCATCTCGAGCTCACCACTGTCAAGTGTTATTGGTTTGATTCACTTGTCTTTTTTCATCCCTGTGAGCACGTGATTTTTGCCACGCTTAAATTACTCCTATAAAATTCCTTAGAATTAGAACTTTTCTTTATTATTTGAATTTTTAGGAATTAATTGCATGATTTTGTGCCTTGTTTGCATTTTTGTGTGCATTTTTAGTTGCCATAATTCATAAAAAAGGTACAAAAATAGTGCATTTGCATTTAGAATTCGATTTTATATTTTTAGTTTACTAGTTAATTAATATTATTAAAATAAGAGAAAAATAACAAAAGTAGTCATTTTACATTTTTTGTTTAGTTTTCCTTTTAAATTGGGATTTAGTTAGTTTTAGGAAAATTAATTAGTTTAATTTTAGTTTAATCCAGGTTTTTGTTAGTTTTAATTTTGCTTTTAACACAAAAAAACAAAAATCAAAAGAAATGAAATGAAATTGATTGGAGTTTAAATAAAAGAAAAAAAGTAATTGAGAAGAAAATAAAAGAAAAGATATCAGGCCACCTAGTTTTGGGCCAAATATGCATCAGCCCAAACCAAAAATCCCCAAAACCCGTTCAAAATGGCCCAAACCCAAAATCCTGATCCGGTCCAGCCCACCCATTGCAAAACGACGCCGTTTTGGCGTCAATCGATCCTGCCCGTCCATTCCCCATGATCAAACGGTCCAGATCCATCCAAGAAAATTACATAAAAATGTAATAAACCCTCAATAATTTTAGAGACAACCCTCCATCTTCCTCGTACTCACCGTCGTCCACCCCTGTCACCACCGTCTCCACCGTGTCTCCGCCGTCAGCCGCCGGCCGGAAATCGCTTCCGCCGGCGGCGATGCTCCAAATCCGCCCAAAATTACACCCCTAAATCCTCTCCCTCTCCTCTTTCCAACCCCCAAAACCATCTCCTCGAATATTAGATCGAAAATCCGGCCAAAACCTCAACTCTTCCAAGTTCAACCAAATTCACACCCTATATTCCCCTAACCTCTCTCTTCCCAAAGCCCAAACTGGAATTCTTCAAATCCAAACGAAACCCCTTCAATTTTAGATCTAGGGTTTTCAAAGTTTAACCTGTTTTGGAATTTCAAGAATTCGGATAATTTTTAATTAATGTTATAGGTTTTATTTGGACAAAATAAACGTATAACATTAATTGAAAATCAAATTCGAGGTCCGCCCAAATCAAAGACGAAAATCAGTGAGTTTCCTAATTTTTCTTGTTGTTCTGAATTAATTTCTCTTCCATGATTGTTTTGGTTTCATAATTAATCGACAACATGAGTTTGTTCTTTTAATTTTGTCATTAGTTTAGGCATAGCTCTTGTCCAGTGCTTTAGGTCTAGTTTAAGTTTTTGATTGTTCGTTTTAAGTCAGTAGGGTTTTTTCTCATTTGATTAATTTTTCTTCATGTTAATTGATGTTGTTTTGTTTTAGTCTTTTATCTTGGTTTAGTTTTGTTCTGTTTTGATTTTCTGTTGGTTTGCTTTTGTGCTTGGTCTCGATTGAGTATTTCATGATTGTTACTGATAATTTGACCTTAGTTCAATTTCATTTGAATTGCTTATTGGTTTAGTAAATAAATCTAGTTTGGATTAATAGTTCAGTTAGATTTAATCTCCAGGTTTTGATTAGTTGGTTTGAGTAATTTGTTCAATTTTAGGATGTGTATGGACTTAGCTGAACTTTTCAGTTTCTTTGGAGTAATTAACTATAGTTACTAACCAAGGTAAGAGGGTTTGGGTTAGTTAACCAGGGTTAGTAATTTCAGGGGTAGTCAGGGGTAGTTTGGGCATCTAAAATGGGCTGGTTTGTTAAGGATCAGTAATTTTAGAATAGAAGTGAGGGTAGTATAGGTATACCATAGGTAGAAAACAAAGCTAGAATATCCTAGGTCCTTCTAGAAAGGGGTCTTAGTGTAAGTTTCTGCATTCTTAATGCAGTAACTTGGGCAACAAGCCACAAATTTAGGGATTAATAATTAAATTCTGAAAGAAAAATAGGGGGAAAATGAGTGAAAACTTCCAGAACCTTCTGCCCCTTTTTCTACCTATAAAAGGCATGTCTAGTGCCTTGGATTACAAGTGGACACCCTCTGAAAAATTCCTAAAGTTTTAACAATCTGAAAAATTCCCAAAGGTTTTTACACCCTTGAAAATTCATAAAAAACCTTCCCAGCTTA